CCCTTCCAGAAGTCGGGATATGCTGCACGTATTAGCTCTAGAATTACCACGGTTATCCGAGTGGTAAGGAGAGCACCAAATAAATGATAACTGATTTAATGAGCCATTCGCAGGTTTTTTTTTTTTTTTTTTTTTTTCTAAAAACACACTGCCCCATCTATCCTGGGGGGCAACAGTCCGGTTGCTTATCACCGGCAAGCATGACAATGGGGACGAAGACAAGAAGAAGAGGAAAGGCCTTGCCCTTGCGGCCCGAGCCGCTGTCAAGGGGGTACTGCTAGCGTCACCATCCGCCTTCCGCCTCCCCTCTCCCTGAGGGTTCCTCTATCAGCCGGGAAGCGGTCATTGGTACCCTGAGCACTGATAGGGGAGCCTTCATGGGGGGAGGCAGAAGGAGGTGTGGGGCTAGTGGTCGCCTGAGCCCGCAGATCCATCACCGGTTGTATCACTCTCGTACCACAGCACTCCTGCCTCGCACGTAGAGTTGCCCCTACTACACCTTGCTACCCTGCACTCTTCTCACTCCCTTACCACAGTTGCTCCCACTCACCCCTTACTGTCCCTCTACTGTTGCTTGCAGAGTGTCGTTACTCCCACTCACCCCTTACGGTCCCTCTACTGTTGCTGTTATAGTGTCGGTGCCGTGTCCCTTACCTGCCCCTCTTCCCTCGAAACCACGCTTCCCTACCGAGTTTGAGTAGTTTAGACCCCAACGTTACAGCCCTACCTAGCTCCAGCTTCCCCCTTCCATGCACCATATCCAAATTTCCCCAGCTTTTCAYACATGTGCAAATTTCCCTTCTCCCTATTACTATACACTACCCCCCCCTACCCTAGCCTCTCTACCTAACTATAATACACAGCTCATTCATTCTGACTGGAATCTACTAGTTGCAGGGCCGGACCAAATGTCACCCGGCCGGGGCTATCCCCTCTGACTACGAGGAGTTCATATGGCGCCCATCGAGCCCAGAACTTTGCTTCCCCGTCAGTGGCACCTTTCGTGCAGCGTGCCATGTCGCTAGATATCGCTGCCCGGAGATTTTCCTTGGCCCGCCGTTTGAGCACTTCTGTCGTAAACTGCGCCCCCTGCCGGATTCGCTCGTTCCGTGCCGTCCAAATAGTCCACAGCAGTTCCGCTCTGAGGGTTTCTGCCGCCAACAGTTGGCCCAGTCCCCCCTGATGAGGCCCTATAACTGCCCCCAAGAGAATCTCAGTTGAGCTGTCCTCTGCAACTTGCAGCGGAGTCCCATTCACGATTTCTGCCCACCACTCCCACAGCCGCTGCACCACCGGGCATTGCACAAAAAGGTGAATGAGCGTCTCCGGTTCCCCGCAGCCCGCCGCACAGGCGGTTTCGCGGTACTGGCTCTTCGACGCCTGCCACTCCGCCGTTGGGATCGCCAAATGTGCGATTAACCAAAGTAGACCCGCATGCTTTTGGTCTGGCAACGCCTTCCAGAGGGCACATTGGCATTTCCACTTCTTTCTGGTCCACTGCTCCAACCGGGCGGGAGGGAGCCAGCACCGTTTGGCCCACCGATTTCGGAGTTCTTCCCATATGTCCACTACTGGGAGGAGAGACCTGAAAATTTGCTTTGTTGYCGTTGTCTGTAGGGGGGTCTTGGTTCTCAGGTGATTCTGTCTTGGCCATGTCCAGTCCTGAGGATCCCAGGATAAGTCGCGCCTTCGTACGGCCAATCTATAGGGGAGCATAGACTCCTTCGTAGGTTTGCTCCTCTGCCCCACTGAGACTGTCTCCGTCATACTTTTCTGAATCACCCCCTCCCGTCCACCCGCAACCACCGGGTCCCCCAAGCCTTGATATCCTGTCGTCACGTTCCACATGGTGACCACCAGTGACTCCCCCTGCTCCACCTCCACTTTGTAGATCCTGGCTGGGCGTGCCTCGCCTTTGAGCTTTACTCACTCCCCCCTGCAGATTTTGCCCTCTCTGAGCCGATCTATCCACTGGGTGGGGATGGCGTCCCTGACCTCCCGCAGTCTTTGGCTCCTTTGCACCTGGTGGGGGAGGCACCTTGCCATCGCGGCGTCCGTCTTTCCAGTCCCGCAGCTCCTCATCCCACAGGTGGCCAACTTTATATACCCCAAGCTCGGCCCMTTGGCGAYCGAATGCGCCCGATTTCCCCTGCCATGGGAGGCTGTCCCCGCTCACGTCGCAGATGAAGCGGTTCTCGAACAGCACCTGGTTATAGACTGCATCCGCCGTGGTGGGTTCACTGTTGACCAGCCCCACCTTCCGCCACACACTCAACGGGGTGGACCAAACTGTGCCCCGTTTTACGTGGCCCATGAGGCCTGAACTGGCGAGGCTAACCTCCACCAGTGCCGGGGGCAACTGCAGTGCATATGCCAGATGTTGGCTAGCAAGCATATGCCACTGTTCCCCAGCCGTTCGCAGCAGATACCAGACCAGGTGTCTCATTTGCAACGCCATCATCTGCAATCGTGGTTCCAGCAGGCCCAGCCCTCCTTCACTCCTTGGCTGCACTAACTTTGGCCATGCCACCCTACAGATGGAGTCCCGTGTGTCCGCATTGTTGGACCATAGGTACGCCTGGATCGCTTGCCGTAGATATGCAAACGTTCTTCTGCCCGGCATGTGGATGGCGCCTGCATACCACAGGGTAGCAAGTACCGAGTTTTTKATTATTAGTGCCTTTCCGAAAACCCCCACATGCACCGCTCCACTCCATGCACTCAGYTTGGCCACCGCAGCCACTGCCTGTACTGCCATCTGCTCCACTCCCCCCCAGCTGGGGGTTAGGTTGGCCCCAAGAAAGTGCATCCTCTCGTCGCCCACCGTGGGGATGTCCCAGCCTTCYGSTGGCTCCMTACCGGGGGGGAGGATGGCTTGGGATTTGTCCCAATTCACCCGTGCCCCAGAGTACCTGCAGAACGTCGCCAGATCTGCTTGCAGAACCTGCAGTTGCTGAATTGTCGGCGGGATAATGGCTCCCGTGTCRTCCGCAAATGCCRACGRCTGCACCTCCCCCCCTTGCTGAAGCTGGAGCCCGTGCAGTCTRCAGTCGCCTCTCAGCAGGTCATGCAGTGCTTCAATATAGATAACGTATAGTGCTGGCGATAGTGGGCAGCCTTGAACCCCATTCACCTGCATGACCGTGGCCGCCTCTTTCAGGAGGCATTTAACCCAGCTCCGGAAAATCACTCCAATACCTCTCCAAGCCATGGCCTGCAGCAGGAACTCCCAACGCACTCGGTCATATGCCTTTTGAAGGTCGATTGAAACGAAGGCGAGCGGTTGGCCAGAGACCTCCTCCTCCTCTAATACTTGCTGGGCCAGCAGGATGCTGGTCACTATTTGGCGTCCCGGTACAAAGCCTGTTTGGGAGGGGTGGATGAGCGCCGACAGCAGTTTGCCGAACCTGGTGGACATCACTTTGGCCAACACCTTGTAAACTGTATTTAGGATAGAGACGGGCCTCCAGTTCCGAACGTCCTCCTTCGGGCCTTTCTTATACAGCAGGACCACGTACGCGTCGGCGAAGCCCTTGGGCAGTGTGTCATGCTGCAGTGCTTCATTATAGGTTTCCGTGAGCAAGATGCCAAAAAAAATTCAAAATTCTTTGAAAAGCTCGATGGGAATGCCGTCGAGGCCCGGCGACTTCAGCCTGGGAAGGTCGCTGATTGCCTGCTCCACCTCTTCTTGGGTGATGTCCTGCTMAAGTTCGCAGCTGCTTGCCAGGTCCAGTTTGGGCCCTGCATATTGCCACAGGTCCTTCTCCGGTTGTGTTGCCATGTCCTCCGGGGTCCAGACTTCTTCTTCCGTCASCAGGTCCCTGTAGAAGTCCGTTACGCATTTCAAGATGCCTCGCRTAGTGTCCTGCCTCCCGATCTGCGAGTCATATGGATGCGTCATTGCAGTCATTRTCAGTGAGGCCTTCTTTTTTTTGAGTTCCGCAAAGAAACGCCTCGCCATCTTTTCTCCCACCAAAACCCAGGCTTCTTTAGTGCGRCGCCCCCATCGTTCCGCCTCCTCAATCTGCCACTCTCTCCATTGGCGCACTGTTTCCATTCGCTCAGCCCACCACTCGTTCTCTTCCATCTCCCCCGGTCCCCCGTCCAAGGCCTGCAGGCGCTCTACGAACTCCTGCCCCGTGCGCTGGTGCGCCATGTGCTGCAGCCATACTTGGGCCAGCAGCAACACCTTTAAATCTGCCAGCGCCTCCATTACGTGCATCAGTCGGTCCTCTTGAGGGGAGGTATCCACCCACTCCTCCCAGAAGCGCAGCACCACCGGCCGGTACTCGGGACTGGCAAATACCCACGCAGGGACCACTGCAGGGGGTCTCCCCATTTCCATCCGTCCTATCGCGTATGCGGAGATTACCGCCGCATGGTCGGATTTTGCCATGGCCACCATTCGAGCGTCTTCGCATCGCTGATTCATCTGCGCGGATGCCCAAATCATGTCGATGCGGCTTCGTCGCAGCGGAGTTGTGCCGCAAAAGGTGTACTCCCGGGAGTCTGGGTGTAGGCTGGGAAATGAGTCGCTGCATCCGAGCTGCGCCATGCTCGTGTGCAGGGCCACTGAATCCGCCTCTTCCCGCCGTGCAGCTGCCGCATCCAGCCCTGGCACACTTATGGTATTAAAGTCCCCGGCGATAACGATCTTCTCTACTTGCGGGGTGAGGGCAGCCAACTGCTCCCACATCCTCCTTCGCTCGCCTATCTCCTGTGGTCCATACACCGAGACCACACCCCATGTTTCTTCCTCCCCTTGCAGCAGTACCCAGGCCCATCTCCCTTGGGTGTCGAAGAACCAGTCTATGATCGTACCTCGAAAGTGCGGGGAGACCAATACTGCAACGCCCCCCCGCGTGCCCTGGGCTGGCGCCCATACTTGGTGTCCTTTCCACCAGATCTTTGGCGCGGAGATCTTTGACTGGTCCAACTTGGTTTCCTGGATACARTCGACATCGATTTGGTCTTGCTCCACCCTCTGCTGCAGCTCTCTCCTCTTGGGGAGAAGGGATCTGGCCCCCAAGCCCCTTACGTTCCAGGTCAKAATTTTGAGTCGTCTCGCCCGTCTATTTCCTACCATTCTACGTCCTTCCCTACTACCCTACGCCTYGCTAAGTCGCCCATCTGTTTATTGCGCTGGGGGGGGGCATCACCTCACCCGGTAACGCCCCGTAGAAAAATAACTCCCGCTACTACTCTACTCCGCCTTCGCCCATATCCCCTGCCCATCCGCAAMGTGCTGCGAATCAAACCGCTCGTCCGTTGGCAGCTTATCTTCAATACCATCCAGGATTCCCAATGAAGCTTGGTGTGCCACATGAATTTCCCGCAGGCGCCCCTCGGGGCCTTTGAGCTCTTGGAAGTCTACCCACTGTGCCTTTCGCAGCCGCAATCGAGACACTCCCGGTCTCTTGGCCAATGCCGCCACAAAGAACGTCATGATGGCGTAATCTGCCGCTGACTCCGACTGCTGGATAAACCTGGACGCCGAGATATGCGGGATCTCGACCACATCGTACTGCCCTCCCACCCATCGCTGGGCGACCTCTATCGCCTCTTGAACCTGCGGTAGGGCGGACACTTTGTATACCGGCGCCTATGCCTTGCCTTTGATGAGCAACTTAACACCCGTTGGGGACCACCACAGCACCAGGGGGCAAACATACACCTCCTTTGCCTTGAGGATATCCGACAGATTAAACGTTACCGTTTCTTGCCTAGCCCTCACTACCTTCACGTAAATTGGTTCTTCCCCCCTTTGCTCGATCCCTGGTAAGTTGCCCCCGCTGGGCGCTGATGGCGAGGGCGCAGCCTCATCTGTTCCCCTCGGCTGGCCCGCCTCCGCCCCCCGTTCCTCGCCTACCACTTCTCGTTGCTCATGCCCCTGGTCCCCCCCCCGCCCCTCCCCGTTTCCTCTTGCCTCCCCCATCCCCTTCCCGTTCCCTCCTGCGCCCGGTCCACTATTCAAGTCCCCCTTCTCATGGGCACCTGCCTCCTGCGTTCCCGTCTCCCTGTCGGCCCCTTGGTGCCACGCCTCCTGTGTGCCCACCCCACCCTCTGACTGTCGGCCCTCTCCCTTCCCCTCCTCCCTGGCTACTTCCTCCTGTCGCCCCCGATCTGGTGTCGCTTGCGTTGGTTCCCCGTCGGCCAGCTGCTGTCGCGCTTCCTTCAAGGGTTCCATACTGAGAACTTCTTGGGTCGCCAGGTTGACGCTCGCTTTGGCCCCCTGGGGGGCGGGCTGCTCCCGCTCTGCTTCCTGCGACTGAACGGGGTTCCACGCTGGTTCCTGCCGATGGACGTGCTGGTTGCGAGTAGATTCATCTGAAGAACTAGCACCCACCGGCACCGGGATACATTCTGCGGACGAGCTGCGAGGTGGTCCGACCGTGATCTGCTTTACCCTCCTCCGTTGCCCGTGCGACTTCCGTTCGCGCTTGTCCCGTTCTACTACGATCGGGGTGTCATAGGTGAGCTGACCTCGACCCGATTTATGCGATTCTCCCACTTGACCTTCCGGCGTCCGTTGCGCTTGTCCCTCATCCTCCACCGGCTCCGTTTTAACCTTCGTCGGGAGGGGCTTACTGTCCCCGCCGTCCTCCCGCCCCACGTGCTGCTCACTCGATTTTTGTGGTGTTGCGCTTATTGGACCTTGCCCGTCTGCGCAGGCTACCCCAGATTCCTCTATCCACCCATTCACCTGCCGCCCCGCGGCGGCCCCTCCGAGACTGCCCCTCTCCCCCTTACCGCCTCCTCCCCCTTGCCGCCTCCTCCCCCCATCTTCCCCCCCCTTCAGGCCAAACATCATCTTCTGCAGATCCCCCTTTCCCATTTCTTGCTCATAGCTCCCCCCACGGGCCTCCCTTGGCACTGGGCTCCTCGTGTGCAGCTGCCCCGCTGGGCCCCCTTCTGGGCGAGTGTGCTCCGGCAGGTCATGCCCCTTGCTCCCCTGGTCTTCCCCACCTACTACGTGGGCCTGTTGCGACACCGCAGCGACCGGAGCCTTTGTGCCATCCAGGGGGGGGGGAGGGGGGAGGGGCTGCTCGTGCAGCTGCTGTCGCTCTTCGCCCTCCRGCCCCTTGGCCGCACCCTTCCCTTCTTGCTGGGCGTCCTCCGCTGGCCCACTTGCCGCCCTCTTCCGGTCCTCGCCATGCGGCTCCCCCGGGTTCTCCCCGCCCCTCTTGTTCGCACCCTGCTGGAACATCCACCCCGCCTGGTCAACTTGCATCGGGTCCAATTCTGTCTGGTCTCGTCCGTCCCACACCCGGTTCCGTCGTAGTGCTTCTCCCCGCCTTCTTCGCCTGGGCATTTTGGGTTTAGGCACTTCCGCCACCCCCGCCTGCATCGCGGCCTTGTGCTCTTCCCACAACTGCAAATCGTATTGCAGCTCTGTCTCTCTCCAGGCACTCTGCTCCCGCGTCGGGTCTGATTGTAGTATCGGTTCCAATGAGCGCCGGACTGCTCGATCTTGGAGCTCCTTGGCCGACTCCTGCTTCGTAAGGCACCTCCCGTGTGCGTTAAGGTGTCCGTGAATTCGACAGACTTCGCAGAAGGGGGATTCACTGGTCACCACTCTAACTTCTTGGCATGTATAAATGCCAGTTGCAATAGCCAGGGTGTCTGCTAGAGGCGAGATGAGCGGGCCGTCGATCTCATATCGTGTATAGGCGCGCTCCTCATCCACGTATGGCTGCTCATCCAAAATGGGTCCGAAGAAGTGTTCGACTGCACCCCGTACCCACTTTTCCGCCAACTGCGAGGCCCGATACACCTTCACCCACGACTTCCGTTGTCGATCCTCCTGCCTCTGCGCCTCCACTTTGGCTGGCGATTTCCACTTCAGCAGGGCGACTTCCAACATCTGCCCATCCACTTTGATTGGCTCTTTTCGCCGCTCCTCGATCAACCATTCCCTGATGTCGACTGTTGGCGCCAAATACGTAACCACTGAATCCCCTTCCAGCTCAATGTCCCCCTTCCAAGGGCCTCTTCCCAGGGTCCATAACTCGTCCCGGAGGCCGATCCAGTCCCTCTTGGTTTCCCTCGGCCACCGTCTCGCTGCTGCAGGGAATTTGCAAACTACCGTGTGTGCTCGCAAGTACGTGCTCTGAAGGTAAATGAGTTCGTTGATAGGTCGAACCATACAGTACCCATACATCAGTTTGTATTCGACTAACCCTTTGTCGTCGAGGGCCTGATGGCGGAGATAAGACCGCCTCAGAGCCCGCATCAGAGTCCGCTATCCCTTACTACTGCGGTATCGACTGTACCCCCACATACCGCCATCTCTACTGACGTTACCGCAGGCACCGTAGTGCCTAATACAATTCCTGGTATCGACTGTACCCCCACATACCGCCATCTCTACTGACGTTACCGCAGGCACCGTAGTGCCTAATACAATTCCTTCCACAGGTTGGCGCTGCACCAGCGCTTACCGAATGTTACCCACCCGACCGCCCCTCCGCAGCTCTACCCGCCTCTCACGAGCCCAACCAGACGCTCCAGCTGTTAAGTTCCTAAAGTATGTCCAAACCAGCTCGGCGTGCAGGAAGGAGAGCTCTGGGCTGGTATCCCAGCCACTCTCTCCCTGTGTGGATCCTCAGTCCGTGTGCCCCCCCCCCCCCCCTCCTTTTACCTCGAGTTCATGGATGCTTACCACCCAGTGCCCACGCCCGCCTGCCTCACCCTCCTATCTGCCGCAAATACACTCTCCTACGGACCATCATAATGGTTTCCCACCGCTCCACCCGCTCGTAGCCCGGCGGTATGGCCGGAAGGGCCTCCCCCGGCTGTACTTGTCGCCCGTGGGGGCGTGATCTGCCCCGCCGATGCAAGTTGCGGCGCAGTCCACCCCACGCGCCCAATATCGCCGTTGCCCCAAGCGCCATCGCCACCAGGATTCCCAGTCGCTGAATCATCCGATCAATTACCAGCCTCGTGCACGGTCTACAAACATCCGTTGAACCCACTATATACAAAAGAAACCCCCCAATCTCACTAAGCACACATGCCACTAACCACCACCGGCCCGGCATCGCCAGGGAGCTCCTTGGCTTCGATAAGGTCTGATGACGGCGCTCGTGCGCCACGGCCGCCGTTGCGCCCCACACCCCTATTGACCTCCTGTCGCCGATCGGCCTCCTTGGCGTCCGCCTCTAGCTTAGCTGTGCCACTCACCAGTGGCTCGTCACTCCTCCTGTCCTACCAGCCGACGGCCGCCATGGCCTACCTTGCCGAGCTCGAGGACAGCTGCAGGTGCGCTCGCCTCAGAAACCCTAACGCGACCGCCGCCGTTGACCCGCGCCACTGGTCACCAGGTCCCGCACTATTCGTCACGTCAACCCTACACGCGCCCGACGGCCGTAAAAAGTCAAACCGAAAAAAAACGCACGGCAGTTCGCCACGTGAAAAGCCCCCGTTCGCCTACGCCCCCGCCAACCTACCACTACGCTGCGCTAATTTTCCCGTTCCGCTGCGCTAATTTTCACACAGTCGCAGTTTCACGCCAGTGTGCATGGCTTGGTCTTTGAGACAAGCATATGACTACCTGTCTCTTATACACATCTAGATGTGTATAAGAGACAGGTCCCGCACTATTCGTCACGTCAACCCTACACGCGCCCGACGGCCGTAAAAAGTCAAACCGAAAAAAAACGCACGGCAGTTCGCCACGTGAAAAGCCCCCGTTCGCCTACGCCCCCGCCAACCTACCACTACGCTGCGCTAATTTTCCCGTTCCGCTGCGCTAATTTTCACACAGTCGCAGTTTCACGCCAGTGTGCATGGCTTGGTCTTTGAGACAAGCATATGACTACWGGCAGGATCAACCAGGTAGCGGGTGTGACGAGCAGCCGCAAGGAGCGATGGCCGAGGCGAACATAGGCACGTCACGCCGGACAGCCTACCAAAAGAACGTCGAACAATCGTGGAACGTGCAATGAGCTGCCGAGACACCGCGAAGTCCGGTTGTTTGAATTGCAGGTGAACTTCCCTCCGTAGGCCATCTCCAACGGCAAGGTACCGGACAATCCAACACAGCCCGCCCCACCCGCCCAAGAGATTGGCTGMGAACAGCACCCGCCCACACCACACCCAGAGATCACAAGTTAACCACACTACCCGAACAACGGCGCGCGCAAAGGAACCACCGACAGCTTCGGCCCACGGCCGGATGCCACCGCCCGCCCAAAACGTACCGACAGAGAAGTGCACAGCCTCATCTCTCCATCTAGAAACGAGGGTAAAGAGAGAAACGAATGCACCACGCTTCCAACACGCCCGGATGGACGGAAAGCCTCCACCTCTACACAGGGGCGCAAAAGGAACACAACCCCTCTCCCCCCTGGGTCCACATCCGACGGTTGCCGCGGGCACCACCAACAGCACTCGACGCAGGTGAAACCCAGGAGAAAGAGGACAGTAGCCTTCGAAGCCCACAACCTAAACGCAGCGGAACCACGACGCAACGCGATCCGTCACGGTGTGCAGCATACCGAGACCAGAGGATGGGGGACACGAAGGGCACAAGCGCGCATTCCAAAAAGTCGGGCGGATGACGGGCCCAGCCTCGCGACGCCGTCGGAGGGTGCATCACGCATCCCACAAGTCTCCGCCCTCGCATACGGTAAGCAGCGGGTGCATGGCCGAGGCCACCTCCGCCAATGCTCAATGGCACCGCTCGGATGGCGGAGAGCGCAGAGCGTCCTCACCAAGTCGTGACACCCCCTCAACACAAACGGAACGCGCCGTCGTGAGTGCGGACACGAAGACGACACCACAACAGAGCCGCAACAACTCTCCCCGTAACCTACGGGACGATGGTGCCGAAGCTGAGAGCCGGTGACGGGCACCTCCGCCTCCACACCCTGCAAACGACCGCCAACCGGACCGCCGTCGGCGATCAAGCGCCAATCATCGCATGACGATGAGCGAGGGTGAACGCAACCATCCACAACCCGACACCCCGGCATAGGAAAGCCCCGACAACCGCGACCGCCGCCAACGTCGACCGAGCTGTCATGAAATAATCCCTCCGAGAGAGACGACCATGGACCCGAACGGCGCCGCAAAAATGTTCTCTCGACCACCAAAGCACGACTCGCCCGTCCCTCGCAAACTGGAAACCACCCAAAGCGTGTGCAGAGAGTCCCTCGTAACTCGAGTACAAGGTCCCAAAACCCACGCCCGTAACATCGCCTTCGTCAACTGCAAGGGGGCTGCTAAGCACGCAGGCTGCTGTAAGAGTGCAAACGGAACTCCGAACCGCCAACCACCGACTGTTTGGCACATCCGGAGGGTGCTCACTGAGCCATCCGCCGAGGGACCTGCACATGTCCCTTTCCAGCAAGCTGACTGGACAGACCCCAATGCCGATGTCCCCCTCGGGACCTCATCCCTTTTTGCTCTCAATAAGACGCCTCTGGACGTTCCATCCTGGGAGACCCCCTTTTCTCAGGGCCGTTCCTACGCCCGAGTGGCAGTGCGCGGTATCTGCTGCCCCCACAAAATTCGACACCTCAAAAGTTCGTCCCATCTCCGTCCCTTCCACATGGAAAGGGATAAGGGGAAGGGCCGGGAAAAAAAATAAATACATTTAAAAAAAAAAAAAAAAAGGGACGAAACAAACAGAGAAAAGGCCAAGCAGCTTCTGTGCCTAGCGACTCAGATCACGTCGCGGTGTGGGAGTGAAAAGTTTACAGGAAGTCTGGCAGAATTGTGCGTCCGTTGTGGGAATATGTGTTGGCGAACATGACCGGATACGCACTCCAGAAACAGAAGGAAGGAAAGAAAAGTCAAGGATGACTTGACAAGATAATCATTTCAATTTGTGTCGGCCCCGAAAAAAACTGCATCCGGCAAAAGAAGCGAGGCCGAAAACCCGACGCCCATAAGCATTTCCGTGCATGTCCCGGAGAACACCATGGAGCCAATCAGGTACYGCCTCCAGTGAAGCAGGCCGCCATGATCACGTGCACGAACGGGGAGGGCCGGATAGGGTAGGAAGTGGGCCGTTTGCCCCCGCCATGAAGGGGACCTTAGTTGGTGGAGTGATTTGTCTGGTTAATTCCGTTAACGAACGAGACCTCAGCCTGCTAAATAGCTACGAGGGGACCTTTCTTCGTGGCAAGCTTCTTAGAGGGACTGTTGGACGACTAGCCAACGGAAGTTTGAGGCAATACCAGGTCTGTGATGACCTTAGATGTTCTGGGCCGCACGCGCGCTACAGTGATCAATCCAACGAGTCGCTTGCCTGGGTCGAAAGGCCCGGGTAACCTTCTTAAGGTTCATCGTGACGGGGATAGATTGTTGTAATTATCGATCTTGAACGAGGAATGCCTAGTAAGCGCGAGTCATCAGCTCGCGCTGATTTCGTCCCTGCCCTTTGTACACACCGCCTGTCGCTCCTACCGATTGAATGGTCCGGTGAAGTGTCTGGATTGCGGTGATCTCGGCGGTTTGCCGCTGGGGGTGCTGTGAGAAGTTCATTGAACCTTATCATTTAGAGGAAGCATAAGTCGTAAAAAGGTTTCCGTACGTGAACCTGCGGAAGGATCATTGACACGTGAATGGCCGATCTTCGGGGTGTRGGACGCTGGCTTGCTCGCCCTTCCGCCGCCCTTTGCCCCCATCCTCCCTGCATCCGCCTTTCTCTTCCGTTTCAGCACCATCTTGGGCTTGGTGCCCAGTTGGCGGCTGGCCCGGCGCAGAGGGGCGCGTGGTGTAGGTCGAGGGTGGGGGGAGTGGGCAGGGTCCGGGCCCTTGTGGCGTTGCTCCCCCTTCATCCCGTCTCGCCTCCGCAGGTTGTTACCACGGCCCAGCCCCACTCTCGACTTCTGGTTGGGATGGCGGTTGGTCCGGGCACGGACAGCCCTGCGGGAGGGTCAGGGGTGGGATGTCGGGTGGTGGAGGCTGTCCTCGGCATGCGTTCCCCCGCTCCTTCCTATCTCAGCTTTGTCCAGACCTCCTTTCCATCCCGGCCTCAACCTCGGCTTCGTGCGGAGATTGTGGCTTGTTTGGGGATCGAGGGTTGTGGTACAGGCTAGGGGCGGGG